ACTACAGTCCGTGCGCCACAGCTTACTACAATGGTCACAGAGCTATATTTTAGTCCATGAGCCACAATTACTACAATAATATTAGATGCGTCTCGACGAGCTCTACAACTTTCAATTAGTAAGCATGTATCGTTAACTTAGTAAGAAAAAAGTTTTAGATTGAAGCTCGCCACATTTCGCCGATAATGATTTTCATATGTAATTTCCAGTACGAATTTTTATATAGTTGGCCAATCGTTCATCAATGATATCTCACCATCCACTAGGCCGATTTGGATGATCTAACTACCGTTAGATGCGTCTCGATGAGCTCTACAATTTTTAATTAGTGGGCATATATCATTAACTTAGTAATAAAAAAAGTTTTAGATAAAAGATGTTATATTTCGCCTATTCTCTAGTTGATAGGTAGATTATCAATTAATAATAATTATTTAATTACTAGAATGTTACAATAAATTTACTATACATTAAAATAATCAGATTTCTGTGTAGAGAAACATGAAAATATAATCAATTATAAAACAAAATAATAAATAATAATTTAGAGCTAAAACAAATACATAATAGCAATAAAACAAAAAAACTTAAAACTAAAACAAATACTTAATAGCACATATTTATAAATAAGCCAAAAAAAATAAGTCAAAAGCCCCACAACTAAAAATTACAACATATCTAATATTTACAACTTTAAATTGCTACATAATATAAAAATAATTTTTTATTTATATAATTTTTAAAGATTGATAACTAGTTAAAAAATTCAAAATAAACATTCGCTTTACAAAAATCATATCTTAAAACTTTAATTAAAAACACATTAAAAATTCTAATAAAAAAATTTATCATCATATTTTACCGTTACTTAACTCTTTCTAACTCTAAAATATATATAAATCCAATATAAATAAACTTTTATTTGAAACTATAAGACTCAAAAAATTATATAAATAAAAAAATTAATCTTATACCCTATCAATTATACATAAACATAATTACATAATGTTTCTGGTTCTAGTATGACTACGTTGTGCAGCTACCTAGTTATTATTAAGAAAATTACTTTATTTCACTACTGGTGATTATCACCAGTAATTTACAATAATTAAAATTAAATTTTTATCAAAGTAAAATTAATTTTTTGGACAATCTTAATGCTTTTTGGAGGTAAAATTCACCAGTTATATGATTAGCCAATCAAATTACAGGATTTTCATGTAATAAAATGAAAAATTTTTAGAAAAAAAACAAAAAATATTAATATCTTAAATTTTTATTATGAAACTTGCTTTAAGTAAAAATTTTCAGAACTTAATTTTACATATAATAAATACTTTAACCTTAATATAGTCCTCATTCTAACCCTAAAGTTAATGAAAAAATTTTTATTAAAAAATAATCAAACAAAACTATATACCTGTTAATTTCATCTATAGTTATTTCTAAATAAATTTGGCTATTATTATAAATAGTATTAATAATATTTATAAAAATATTTAACTTATTGTAATCTTTATTATAAAAATATTTTTGGATTCATAATAGAGATTTGCTATTTATTACCACTGGTAATCATCACCAGTGAATAATATAAAATAAAATTTTATTAACAAAACTACTCTGGGAATTTTAATAAAAAATTCTCTGTAAAATTCTGACTAATTTAAGCTTTTAATCCTTACCCTAAATATTAAAAAAATTTCCCTTTATAGATGTTCTATAGAATTAGGGATGGTAAAAAAACATTTTTCACCGTTTTAAAACATGTGATGCTGTGGTCAGAATATATTAAATTTTAAAACTCAGCATATCAAGATTATAAACATCACATGTTTTAAAACGGTGAAAAATGTTTTTTTACCATCCCTATATAGAATAGGTGGGCAATATAAGAAATAAGCTTCGCTAATGATTAGTAATCATTAATTTTTTAATATCGGAGTTGCAGAGTTGGCGGAGTTTGCCCACCTATTCTATAGAACATCCATCGAGGATACAAATTTTGAGATGCATTTTTTTTAAGGTTAAAGTTAGAATTTAGGTATAGAATTTATAATAGAACAGGAATAGGTGGGTTTTGGAAAGTCAAATAAAACCCTCATTTCAATTTAATACAAGTTCATTATGGTCTGTGACACTTATCTCTGCTTTCTCAATCTTAGTAGTGTTTCCAGTAGTTTTCTCATATGAACTATGAACCATAATCTGATTCATCAAATAATTCACAACTTTTCTGTGAGATTCTAGATTTATATTTATCTAAGTTGAATTCTGGAATGCCTGTTGAGTTTATAGGTTTTGGATGATTTGAACGTATTAATTTATATATTCTACGTGAGGTGATGATGTCAACGTTTTTTGAAGATTCAGACTCAATTTTTTTTATATTTGAATCAGCTTCTTTGAAAATATTTATACAGTGCTCTTGTGTTAGCATGTATAAAATTTGTATAAGACCATTTGCTGAAGGA